TTAACAAGGTGACACCCTTGTTCCGAGTAGGCCTGATTCTCCTTTCCCAGGGGCTGGTTTCATGCTCACTGAACTCCACTGTGGTAGAATCTATTCTAGTAGTATAAAATAGCTCCAAAACCATCATTAGAATTGCTCCTGATTTACTCTGGAAAGATTGAGTGCAGAATCAGAACCAGTGTGATACATGAAAAGGAAGAAAAGTGGACAAAATTGCCTGCAGAGCAAGGTGGCTGGACAATTCAACTGTGCTGTCACATCAAGATGTTTTTTTTCTTATGTGAAATCCTCTTATCTCTCATGCTCTGCTGTGCCGTGTCTCCAAAGGCTGCTGCTGTACTGAGCTGTTATGCATCTTCTCTGACTGCTGATCCATCACAGTAACAGTCAAACAGCTCAAAGATTAAGTGGGTGGCATGGTTCAGAGGTCCTTCAAGGATCAGACAACAAGCCAGGCCATAGAAACCCTGTAAGATTTCCAGGATGTATTGTAATAACTCATTTATGCCAAGTGCCTTTGGGAACAGAAAGGTGACTTAGAATCTCTTTATTTAGCTGGGGATTCAGCCCAATATACCTGCCCAAAGCCCTGCACTTAAGAGGTCTGAAACTCTTTTAGGATATGAGCAACTGGGATGAGTAGAGCTGGGAGCCTTTATAAAGCACCTTTTTCTTTCAAATTTAAAGTTCAAATCAATTCACAGGGATAATCACCATTAAATGCAGTCACTGCTCAGATAAAATTTAGTAACTTCATCAGCGCACAGCAAAACTACATAACAGTCCTAAACAACAGGGGATGAGACTGTAGAACGCAGGGTTTTTGACTTTCTTGGGAAATTTAGATGAACCGGGGTATTTACCTGAATTTAATATGGCCACGACATCAGAACTACTGCTGCTACTCCTGAAAAAAAACTGTTGTGACATTTTATAACTCAAGTGTCCAACCCCTCCGTTCTATGTCTCTCCTCAAGAAACAACTTCCACTAGCAGAAAAACCACTAGCACCGTTATTAACTGAAAGGAAAGGGAGCCATGGACTAACCTGCTAGTCCCAGATGCATAATTCTGAGTCAGCTAGAAGAGGGACAACCATTTACAAATGAAAGTAGGCTTTCTTCATATCACTGGCACCCAAGAACAGTTGAGTCTTTCAAGGCAACCTAATAATCCTGGGCTGCTCAGCTTCTGGCCTGTGGGCCAAATGCAGGCTTGTGGAGCCATTGCATCTGGCCCAAAGGGCTCCTCATAGGTCTGGAAATTTGGTAGCGGGGCAGCAGTGGCCATTAATACAGTCACCCTCCTCCCTGCCCAATTCCCAAACCCCATTTCCCATGTGGCTGGTTGGAGCCAAGCTCTACCCCCTACCCCCACGGGGCTAGGCCATGTCCCCCCACTTCTGTACTGAGGTTGGGTCATACCCCCTTCCCTCCCCGCAGGGCTGGGTTGGGACCTGGCCATGATCCTTGCCCCCCACTGTGCCAGGCCATGCCCATTCCCTGCTGCTGGGGCAGGGCCACAGCTCCTTCCCCCCTGCATCCACGTAGGAGCACTGCCTATATCTGGCCCACGGATGGACCAAACAATACCAATCTGGGCCGCTGGGCATAGAAGTCGGGCACCCCTGTAATTACCTGATAGGAAGTAGACTCTGGATCTGGACATTTCAGAGGAGATAGGCTCCCAGTATTTGATAACTAGAATATCAGACAACCTAGTAATACAGCTGCAGAAAGACTGAAACAAGTGTCTGTTTCTAATTAAACAAATATACCACCCTGGGGTTCACTGCACTGGACAAACATGCTCTGTGTTTCTGTAGAAGCACTTTGTGCTGCCCAGGTTTTTTTAGTTTTGTGTGTCACATCTTCAAACAACAGCCTTGACATTTGGCTATTCATTGTACATTTACTTTTCCCACTAGCTCTTCCTTATTATTTTGGTTTGTTCTAAATTTTTTTCAGAGTTATTTGCTCACTTGATGGGAGGGCCATGTTTGAAAATATTACATAATTTTCTAACGTGACAAAAAGAAACAATTTTGAAGAGACTTTCTCTCTTTTCTTTCTTTCCTTTTTTCCTCTCAATTTTTTGCGTCTCACTTTTTTTCCCTCTAGCTGTTCATTTAGTTCCATGGAATCTAACTGCTTTCATTCAAACGGCTATCAGTCTGGAGTCAATGACTGCAGAATTGAACTGTGTTCAAGATTATTTTTTTTATTCCTGTTTATCATTTGTTTCTTACAGGTATCTTCCCTGATTGACTCCCTTAATACATATACATCAAGTTTTACTAGGATTTTTATTGAAAAAAATTGCACCGTCAAATAAAGCAGAATTTGATTATCATATCTATTTCTTTAGAAATGGTTTCCACGTCGTTGATTATCATGTGCTCCTTCATGAGGAGGAATCTACAATTTTCCAGGATGATGAAGGTGTGATTAAGAATTTTTGGTTACAAAATTACAGTAACAATATGTATATATAGTCGAAAACTCAACTACCATTATCAAAGAGGGAGTCTCAGCTTTCCTTTCTTTTAAAATACTTCCCCTTTAAAACATTTTGTATTTGTACTCACATATGATAAATGGACAGTGCTATATCTGAAATGGCATCCTGGGTTTGTTAAGGAACAAACATTAAAATTTCAGTTTCCTAATTTGGTATCTGATTCAGTGTAAATTGAAATAATTGACTGCTCTTCTATTTACTTCCAAGAGCTTTGTATTATACCCTTACACTTCAAACCAATTCTTAATGAAGGTGGTGGGACTGTGCCCTCTTTGGTGTGATGAGGGCCTCTAGTTGAGTTCAAATTCTCTTCTTCAAAAGAATTTGCTATAAATGGAAGAATTCCACAAATCTGTTTTGCTTAACGTGGTATGACAAATCTAAATGGCCAAGGCACTAAACACTAGACTTTTCTTTTCTCTTAGGAACATAGGAAAGTAGGGCTGGAAGGGACCTCACCAACTCATCTAGTCCAGCCCCCTATTGAAGGCAGGAGCATCCCTCTCTAAAGCACTCCAGCCAAGTATCTGTCTAACCTGCTCTTGAAAACTTCCAAGGATGGTGATTCCAAAATTTCTAATTAGCCTGTTCCTAGGCTTGACCACCCACATAGTCAGAAAGTTCCCCTTAATCTCCAACCTAAATTTCTCTTGCTGAAGCTTGAAGCCGGTGTTCCTAGTCTTGTCCGCTATGGCCACCAAGAAAGGCCCATCTCCATCCTCTTGATAATAGTCCTTCAGGTATTTAAAGTTTGTTATCAAATCCCCTCTTCTTTTATTTTCCTAGCTATTAATTTAGTTCCTCTCTCGAGACTAAATAGCCGTAGGGTGGACACTATATATTTGCCCTTTTCCAATCATCCAGGTCTTCACCTGACCTCCCTGAGTCCTCAAAGAGGATAGCTATTAGCTCTGAAATTACCTCAGCCAATTCCATCTGTACCCTTAGCCTGCATCCCATGTCATCTTGCTCACTTAGCTAAAAGGGAGGCGCACACCCAATGGAAGGGAGGGGCCATCACCAGGGAGGATTATACTGCGGTTGCTTGGTGATACGGGGGGGGTCAGGAAGGCCAAGGCAGAGACGGAATTGGGACTAGCTTCCCGGATCAAGGACAACAAGAAGTCCTTTTTTAAATACGTAGGGGGCAAAAAGAAGGTTCCAGGTAACGTGGGGCCCCTGCAGGACGTGCTAGGAAATTTGGTCGTCACACCAGACGACAAAGCTAACATATTTAATGATTTCTTTGCCTCCATTTTCCTGAGCAGGGACCAGAACAGCCACCCCCCCTCTGGGCTCCCCTCAGACCTCAGGGCAGGCACACCTAGGCCAAGGGTTAGTGAGGAACTAGTTAGGGAACTTCTGGAGGGACTGGATGTATTCAAATCAGCTGGTCCGGATGATCTCCACCCCAGAGTGCTGAGGGAATTAGCTGCGGTCATTGCAGGACCCCTGGCATGGCTTTACAAGCACTGACCCTAAAAACTATGAAACTATGAAACCATGAAACTTGAAAGCATCTAGCTTCCCTAAGTAATGAAGTCTCCTGAACTGCAAAAGAACACTACGTTACTGAGATCTGGGATTTAACACAATTAAGAACACCCTCTTCAAGGCCATAAAGCCACAAGAGAAATCCTTATCAAAAACAAAAGCTCTACCTTTGTGAACAAACAAAGGAGCCTTGATGTAAGACACCTTTATAAAGACAGACAGGCAAAAACACATTTTGTGACATTCCAATAGAAGGCATCATGGCACGTCATTCTGTAGTTGGAGGCCTTCCCCAGTTTGTAACCAGAACACTTATTCTCTGCAATACATCTAGGATTACCTAATCATCTTTAAATAAGGAACTTTGATTAGCCTCAAAATTTTACACACCTAAAATTGGTTTAGTTTTTCACTTTGGTTACTACTGCATTTATTTCTGTCACCAGTTCAGCATCTCTAATGTCACTAAGACAGGTCAAGTTTCAATTAAAGTGTTGATAAATAATATAGCTACCACATGATTAGTTACCACCTTCAAATGTACATTTCATGTTTTAAAGACTGGATCTATTTAAGTATTAGGTACAATTCTCAATACATTTAGTCTGATTAATATCAGTATAATTATTCCTGGGCACTAAGAACTACACCCAGAAGAAATTGCTTTCAAGATTGGGCTCCATCACATGTTAAAAGACACATTCTACCCATATTCCATGAGCAGCATGTGTACAGAAGTCAATGGGACTGTGTAAAAGCTGAGGGTAGCACACGATCCAAAGAAAATAAATGCTGAAAATTAAACAAACAGCTTAGTGTAAAAAAGAGGAGCTGACAGGACACTTTGGAAACATACCCATGTCTTAGATAATACAGTTGTCCCAAACTGCTATACATTTAAACAGAATGTTCAGCTACTGCTATTGCATAAAATGACAAGTTAATGTTTAACTGCCGATATAAACACTAATAAATAAAAAACTTACGATGATCCTGGACTTGCTGTTGGTGGAGGACCTGAAAAAAGAGAGAGTAGAAATAGCAAAATTAGTTATAGAAGGGTACCTAGCAAGATATCTTAGCAAACCTTTAGAACAGAGGTGCTCAACTTCTGGCCTGCAGGCCAAAAATGCAGCCAGTACATCTGCCCCATGGGAGTCCCTGGGGTTCAGAAATTTGGCAGAGGAGCAACAGTGGCCATTAATACACCACCCTCTTCCCTCCCAAATTCCTAGAGTCCAGCCAGTTGGAGCTGGGCTGTACCCCTTTGCCCTGTGGGGCTGGGTTTGAGCCAGGCCATGCCTCCTTCTCTGTGCAGGGCTGGGTCAAGCCCCCTTCCCTTCCCCGGGGCTGTGTTGGGGCTGAGCCATGCCCCCTGTCCCCTTCTCCACTCCACTACCCTGGGCCTGGGCCACATCCCTTTTTTCCCCTGCAGTGCCAGACTGGACCAAGATTAAGCCCCATCCCTCCTGCAGTGCTGAACCATGCCCCCTTCACTCCCCCCCCCGGGGCTGACTCACATCCCTCTCCTTCTGCCCTCCACGGGGCAGGTGAAGCCTCCTCTCTCCCTGCCCTGCAAGGCCAGGCTTGGGCTGGGCTACCCCCTGCCCGTCTTTGCCTGGCTAGATAGTGCCCATGGTGTTGGTCTCAGGCACTGGACTGGTCTGGCCAGCAGTCAGACTAGGCACTGCCCATCTAGCCTGCAAGGGAAAAAGGTTGAACACCACTGACTTAGAAGATACAAACAACTGTATATCATATTAAATATAGATTATTTATTTTAACAGATTATTCTCAATTTCCCAAAGCAGAAGACAGGGCTATATGCAACATATGCAACAGCCATGGTTGACTAACGAATGCCACAAAAAAGAACTATTGAAAATGGCTTAAGTTCATTTGAGCGAAGGCCTGATTTGCAGCAGGGCATTCCCATTGATTCCAGTGAGTTTTGGATCAGGGCCTTAGACTATGTTCACACTCTTTCATGTCTGATTTCTGTAAGTATTCGAAAGGCTATGTTTACTGGCAGGAATAGTCACTGTAACACCATGCCTTAAGCCTTAAGGAATAGTTATGTAAACTAGATTTCAAATTAATGTTAAATCAGCATCTCCTTTAGAAGGTTACTGAGTGTCTGTTACAGAAATGCTATGTAAAAAAAAGGAATTCTTTTCTCTCCTCCTTTCCTGTACAAATTATCCCAAATTTCGAATCCTGAGCACTGAGTAACAACTGCTTGTCAATCGGCTACCTGCCAGGAGTTATTTCAGAAATTATTCAGTGAATGATCTAAATATAAAACAATTTGAGGTAATCTGAATAATTTATGAACAAAAAAGCCATGAAATTCATTAAATATATTATTCCTTATACATTCTTTGCCCATTTTTACAAATACTCATTAAGTCTATGTAACCTCTTCAGCTCACAGCAGTATTCTCCTCTGAAAGTGAAAGTAAAGGGAAGACATACAAAAACCTGTTTCTTGTTTGAGGTCCTCACAATTGTCAGGCCACCTCTATAATCAATTATATGAAGATATACTTTGGCTCAGAGAGAAAACGTGTTACTTTTTGCAACCCTTGGAAATGATACTGGTAATGCAACTACTATTTTTACTGTACTGAGCATTTCAATTTCAGTCTTCTCCAGGCTTAAAACTCCTGTTTATACAAAGGGAGGAAAAAGAAGTGTCTCATGGTTGAAGATTTACAACAGTGTCTTTCTGATCTGATTGATGGTTCAAATCTCACTAAGGCCTGTGGGCAGACATTAAGACAATGGTACAATTGGGATCAGAGTAATTTTATGCCTCATCCCAAACAGTGTGCCTTCTGCCACGCACATCTGGATCTGCAGATTGGGTAATGGGGCAGCTCTGTTCTGAACCCAGGGCTTCCCCCTGCCCCCAGCTCACTCCAGATCCAGGGCGGTCAGCTTGTTGTCTGACCCAGCTCTGGAAAGTCCCAGGTCTGGTTCCGGCAGGGGCTGCAGGGCAAGGCAGGAAAGGCTGCTGGGCTCAGGGGGTGCCAGGACCTCTGCCCCCCCCCCCCCCCCCCACCCCCACAACA